TATATGCAACGTACAGCTTGGATAAATTGTACTATTGGCAATGGAGTATTGCTATATATTGAAAATGGATCGTATGATTATACTCTAACTGTTACTTGGAATGGAGAGGCTATTACTAGTGGAGTACTGAGTCAATCAAACAACAATGGAGATCATGTGTACAGATTCTATTTGTATGTTGGTGATATTGATAACAATAATGTTGTACAACGAAACAATTATCATACTATATCAGGTATATAAAAAGTTTTATATAAAATAATGCACAATTTTTCTTAGTACCAGCAACTGCTCCCTCTTCTCCTATTATTGTCAAGAAGTCAATCAACACTATCACTGTCAGTTGGACTGCACTTGATTCATCTGATGCTGATGGATATGTAATCAATGTCACGAATGACAGAGACACTGTGCAGACAGTACAGGTGGAGGGAAGTAATAATAATACAATCACACTGAATGGACTGAGAGGAGGAACAACTTATAACATTACAGTCAGAGCCTATCAACAATTACTGGGACCTGCTAGTAGTGCAATCAGTGTACAGACCTTACCCGCAGGTATTAACCATCTATTTCACTTTTAACCCATGGAAATGTTGATGCATTTCTAGTTAACGCCTGTAACTCCTCATGCATAAACTCTCCTTCAATTAGTAGTACAACTATAGTCTTAACAATTAATGGTAAGTAAAACTAATTATAATTTTTACATTATCAGGTAAACTTGCTTTAGATATAACTACAGCCCCATATTATTGCTATACTTCAGTCATGATCTCGCCCTGGCAGAGCAAGACTACTACAGTCAGTAATGCCACTCCATCAGTTTCAGTAACTCCATCAATCAGTGATACATCAGATAGTGTTATTGCTCTTGGTGTGTCAGTAGGCGTATTGTTGATTCTAACAACTGCCAGTGTTATTACTAATATCTACTGCTTTATAAAGTATTGTAAACATTCTGTTGACAGAAATAAAAATGAAAGGATAAAAAATTCTTTTTCAGCTACAAAGCAAACAAAGTTAGTAATATTCTATTTGCTAACTATAATACATTGCATGATAGAACTGAATACGATATTGCATTGCAAGTATGTGAATCATATGAACTTCATAAGACTAAACTAAAGGAAAAGAGTGACGAAGATATTGCAATGCAAGTATGTGAACCATATGAACTTTGCAAGGCTAAAATAGGTGAAGTGGTTGAGGAAGTTTATGCTGAATGTGAAGCATTGTCTAACAGTGCTCATAAAGAGTACATTTGAACTGCTTTAAAAAACAAAAAATATAGATAATTCAAAATGTTATTTTTCATTTGTAGTTTCATTGCTATAGCTGTTTTACTATTTTATTTTTTGTAGCAATTATGTTACATGTATGGGTATTTGTTTATCAAAGTAGTTACACAAAATTTTTATGAGACAACTTATGCCTGTAAGTGCATGTACGTATGATCCAATTCATACATATTTTGAAGAATTTACCCTTAACAACACTAGTGAGTGATTAGATGAAGCTTTAATCCCAACTGTCATAATTAGACATGTATGTTAAGAATAATAAAGTCATGCATACACTTTGAATGCTTATTGTGGCATGCAACTTTTTGCTAATTTATTGCACACCAAAACAATACCAAAACCTTAATTATTAACTTGTATCAATGTTACTTAAGACCTATTATCAATATAAATATCATTATACAACCATAATGCCTTAAAATGTGATCTAATGAATGCTGTTAACTTCTTTTGCCATACAGTATATAATGTAAATCTGAAAGACATGAGGCAATAGTAAAAATAACATTATTGTAAAAAATAATGTTGCACACTAGACTATACCACAATTATAGTAATATGATATCCTAATTTTTGCAAAAAATTTAAATTTAAGGTATAGTAAATAGCCAAATATATCTTCTTATGTTGTGTAAAAACTTAGAACTGATTCCAAAACAAAGTTGCTCAAAAAATGGACCAAAGTCTCTGTACTATAGTTCAGGGTCCCTGGCTAAATTTTTCCAAAATTGTAAAGGAAAGGATTTAAATCTACTTTTTATAATATTTTCTGGTACATATACATGTACATGTTCTTTTGTTGTGTAGAAAGTTTGAGCTAATTGTGATAAAAATTGGATTTCTTCTGAATTTTTAAAGTTGCTCAAAATTTGGTCAAAGTACCTGTATTAGCTCCTTTTATTTTTTGCTTGTCAGTTGGGCCTCTTTCGATGTTAGGTCACAAAGTGTTATATTGTCAAAAATTGCCAAAAATTTCCCAGCTCTGCCCCATTGGTTGGTGATTCGGTGGATAGTCTTACAACATGTTGCTGGTGTCCATTGTCTTCTTGTTGAGTGTCAGTGAAGTTATTAGTCAATGTCCACCTTCCTCTGGTAAGACACTGGATATGTATAATAACAACTGTATAGGTTTTATAAGTATCTACCTGATGCATAATGGAAACTGTTATCCTAATGGATCATATTTTTGGGACCTTGATGTTAAATCAGTTACTGAAGCTATATCATGTGTGTTACCTGGTACTAGTCTAACTACTGGTCAGTGGGTTAGAGTTGCTGATCCTGATGATCCTGTTGACTGTAACAGTAATAGTGCCAGTGATCCTTTTCGTTGTACTTCTGTCACTTCACCTGATGCTACTCTCAGTCTTTATCTTGCTCTGCAGAGACAGCTACCAGCAGATCAAGAAGGATGGTACAAGTGTTGTCTACCAATTGACTGTTCTGCTGCTAGTAACATCATTTTTGCTAATATATACAGTAAGTGTTTTTATTGTATATGTTGACTAACAAAGTCAATTCATTTCTCTTACCCTTACGGCTTCACCATAAAATTTTAGAATATGTAAGCATGAACATTAGGGGGAACTATCATCAAAAAATTAGAGATAATACCATTAAGGAGGTAGGCCTGACAAATTGGAATATAGAGTCAAAATTTTGTAACATGAATTTAGCAAAGGGAATTGAGGTCTGTTTGCCAAAATTTTAGTTCTTAATTTTATAAGGCTATGTAGCAGCATAGGCCTACTCATGGTGAGAAAGTTTATACTAATACTCATTTTTAAAAACAGCTAAACACCAAATTAGTGTTGTGCATGTTGTAATATGTATGACATATGTGTACATGTAATTAGTAGGTTGTGTATTTTGTGTTAATTAGTATTTACGTAAACATATGCTTTTAATTAATGTATGATCTCATGTTCCTATGGCCTTATGCCCTCTTTTGTGTCACGTACAATGAGCTGGACAGCTCTGTCCAGCTCATGAGGACTCACTTGTTACTCCATACGGACCCTTTGTTAGTTACCTGTGTACAATAGTGTCCTTATTTCTTTGTTATGTTTTTGTATTTAAGTTCTGTAATCTTAGAGCAGTTTTTTTCTCTTTTTGTTGTAAAAGTATTTTAACTTGATATCTGCTAATCTTACTACGTGCAGCAACTCTAGCTAATCGCTATTGTAGTGCTGATTCTCAATAGTGCATACACATGGTGGTTAACATTGCTATATTGATACTGTCATTGTTACTGTAGAATGGGCTCAGATTGCTAAAATTACTGTTGAACTTCCTTCAGATATAACAGTTCTGCCTCAAATATACACACTACATGTTATTAAAGTCGGTATTCCAAATCGCAAGAAGATACACAATGCTACTTGGCACTATGAGTCTGGTGGTACTAGCACTAAAATGACTGCTGATATTTGTACTGGACAATATGGATATAATTGCATTATTGGTAATAGAGTATCACTTGAAGATGGATCATACGATTACACATTAACTGTTACTTGGAATGGAGAGGCTATTAGTACTGGAGTACTGAGTCAATCAAACAACAATGGGGATCATGTGTACAGATTCTATTTATATGTTGGTGATATTAGGGGAAATAATGTTGTACAACGAAACAAGTATCATACGATATCAGGTACAATGATTAAAATATTTTCTTATTATTGTGCACTTTTTCCTAGTACCAGCAACTGCTCCTTCTTTTCTTACTATTGTCAACAAGTCAGTCAACACTATCACTGTCAGTTGGACTGCACTTGATTCATCTGATGCTGATGGATATGTAGTCAATATCACTAGTGACACAGACACTGTGCAGACAGTACAGGTGGAGGGAAGTATTCATAATCTAATCACACTGAATGGATTGAGAGGAGGAACAACTTATAGTATCACAGTTAGAGCCTATCAACAATTACTGGGACCTGCTAGTGGTGCAATCAGTGTACAGACCTTATCAGGTAATTAACCATCTATTTTACCTTTACCATTCTGTATGTATTTCTAGTTACTACCTGTAACTCTTTGTGCATAAATCCTCCTTCAATTAGTAGTACAACTGCAATGTTACCATTTAATCGTAAGTGAAACTAGCTGCAATTTTTTACATTATCAGTTAAACTTGCCTTAGATACAACTACAACACCATATTATTGCTATACTTCAGTCATGATCTCGCCCTGGCAGAGCAAGACTACTACAGTCAGTAATGCCACTCCATCAGTTTCAGTAACTCCATCAATCAGTGATACATCAGATAGTGTTATTGCTCTTGGTGTGTCAGTAGGTGTATTGTTGATTCTAACAACTGTCAGTGTTATCATTAATATTTACTGCTTTATAAAGTATTGTAAATATTCTATTGACAGACGTATAAATGAAGGGATTAAAGAATTTTTTTCAGCTACCAAGCAAATAAAGTTAGTAATATTCCATTTGCTAACTAATTCATTGTATGATAGAACTGATTATGATATTGCAATGCAAGTACATGAGCCATATGAACTCCATGCACTAAGGAGAAAGAGTGATGAAGATATTGAAATGCATGTATGTGAACCATATGAACATTGCAGTGCTAAAACAGTTCAAGTGATTGAGGAGATTTATGCTGAATGTAAAGCATCACCTAATTACATTGCTGATGAAGATTACATTTGAACTGCTTTTAAAAAACAAAAAATATGTGTAGTTCTAAATGTAGTTTTCCCACCTGTAGTTTTATTGCTATAGCTGTATTACTATTTGATTTTTTGTAGCAATAATTTTACATGTTAATGAAAGTAGTTACGTAAAATCTTTATAAGACAACTTATGCCTGTCAGTGAACGCAAATACATGATCCAATTCATGCATATACATGTATCATTTACCCTTAACAACATTAGTAAGTGATTAGGTGAAGCTTCATAGACTTTAATAAATTTTGGATGCACGGCAGTCATATGCATGCTTATCATGGTATGCAACTTCTTGGTACATTTACACTAATATAATACCAAAGTATATCAAACTAAGTATTATCACTTGTGTCATGGGATGTCTTGTTACTTAAATATTATCATAATACAACCATAATGCCTTAAAATGATATGATCTGATGTTGATTTCTTTCATCATACAGCCATGTGAATCTATAAGACATGGGGGCAGCAGTAACAGTAATGTTACATAATTTACTACCATAAACTTAATAATATGATATTCTGGATTTTTCACAAAAAATTAAGTTTTAAATGGCAAATGCATTTTTTTTAATTTTGAGCTGATTCAAATCCAAAGTTGATCAAAAATTAGGCCAAAGTCCTTGTACTGCAGGATCACTAGCCAAATTTTGCCAAAATTGAAAGGAGCAAACTTTTAATTTTAATAATTTACTCATACATGGAGAAAGTTTAGCTGATTCTGATTGAAATTAGATTTTTAAAGACAAATTTCATGAGTTTGCTAAAAAATCTATTTTAGGATTTAATTTTTGCGAATTTATGTCGTCTGCCATCTTGTACCGTAATAAATAGTATCTATGCCTTAAAAAGGTGCTCTAGGCATATAAGTTTTCCAAGGGAGACATTTGTGGGCATTTGACTCAATTTGACTATGCATTTGATCAAAGCCAAAATGTAGTAAATGCTTCCCTTATATCAGTTAATGAGTAGTTACATTAACTTTGGTACAGTCAAAATTAATAGAAATTTTATTACAGCTATAATTATTGTGACAAACAATTTGAAAGAAGTGCTCACTGTCAATAAAATGATTCTAAGACTAACTTAGAAACTATAATTCAAATTGTGACTAGACCTACCAAAAGTGACAATGTAATTAATTCTAGGCTTAAATTTTTAGATATTGATCACAAAATTAATATGAGAATCAACCCATATATTTCACCAGTCTCACATAGCAGAATACCATCAAAACCAACAATACTCTCAGCAGTCATGCATGATATACACAAGTACAATAATTCCAGACAAAGATAAAACAGAAAAGCAGGTCATTTGAGATCATAATTCAACTTAAAAATTCTTATATTTTCCGAAACTTTGTCTTATTTATTATATACAACTCAATACCACTTAATATTGTATTAAAGTTTTACGTACAATTGAAATACACTTTAACATGTAAGATTTAAGATTAAGGAATGATACATTTAGCATTAAAAACTTGTTAATCTTAGACACAATGAGGATGTTCAGGGCATGGAGCTAGGAGAAGGAAGCAACCAGTTTATTATGGACACTAGAACAGTATAATATCTCTTCATTGTAATTATAGGAGCAGAGTACCTGCCAATACCCAATAGTTTCAGGTGTTTCTTAATGGTACTCAAGTACCAGTGGATACAAATGATTCAGCAATTAACATACAGATGATGGAATGAACTCAATCCTGACCATATTTATATGTAGTGAGTGTTTTGCTGGCACTTACAGGTAATCTATGTCTAGCATGATGGTTTTGCATGAGCTAATGAAGGCATGGTGGTCTGTATTGCAGGCTAATCTGGTATGTATATATGGATTGATTCGGCTTAGTTGGTCATGGATTTGAATATGGATGGTTAAGCAAGGTGAGATCTAATATTATATCAAATTCCATCTCTTTACTTGTAAATGTACCTTTTAATTGTATTGTTGATATATTTCTAGTGAATTATAGCTGTGTTAACATTTGAAGGTGTATACAAATTTTCAATTTCTGTCTTTTTTCTACAAGACTTGTCCACAAGTGCAATATCATATTCTTTGATACTCAAGTTTCCAACACAATTTAGTTTCTAGCTTGCAAAACTTTGGTGAGTAAATTTATTAAAATTCTCATTATCAGTGGTAAAAAATGATAAGAAATTAATGTTATGTAATAGCTTAATAAATAAACTCTCACACCCACCATCACCACAAGAAGCCCATGATGCTCTTGGCCTCTATTGACCTTGCTATTGTCTTATTGCTGAGTGTCAGTGAAGTTATTAGTCAATGTCCACCTTCCTCTGGTAAGACACTGGATGTGTATAATAACAACTGTATAGGTTTTATAGGTATCTACCTGAGGCATAATGGAAACTGTTATACTAATAATGGATCGTTTTTTACTGACGGTAGTATCAGACCAACTCCTCTAGAGTGTGGTTTACCTGGTGCTACTCTGAATGGTGGACAATGGATTGGTCCTAATGGAGTAGTTCCTTGTGATGGTGGTAACAATGCAAATGTTGAATGTACTACTGGGTCAGGTGCTAGTCTCAGTGTTAACATAAATCCTGCTAATGGCTTTCTTGGGGTAGATGGTGATGGCCAGTATATGTGCTGTCTACCCACTAGTTGCTCAACTCCTGGTACTAACATCATCACTACTACTATATTCAGTAAGAGGAGATTATATAACTTACTGATGTAGTAATTTTCATTTGTAGGATTTTCAGAGATAGAATCATTTACTGTTGCTGATCTTCCTTCTGATATGACAGTATATCCTCAGGAATACAAACTGAATTGTACTAAAATTGGATTCAATCACTATGATATTAGTATGAGCATTGGTAGTACTGCTCTGGTTAGTTACACTGGTTGTGGTGATGTTAGTAATAATTGTCCTGGTACTGATTTAAGTGGTCCTGTTGAAAACACAGTAAGATATACTGTTACTATCACATGGGATGGAATGAATGTCAGTAGTGGATCAATCAGTCAATCAACCACTGGAGATCAAATGTATCAGTGCAGGGTAGCAGATCATCCTGATGGTAATGAAATTAGATTACAAAATGTAACTATTAAAGGTATAATGTCTAAAAATGTGAATAATTCTTATTACCAAAAATTTTAGTTCCAGCAACTGCTCCCTCTTCTCTTACTGAAGTCAGCAAGACAGCTACCACTATCACTGTCAGTTGGACTGCACTTGATTCATCTGATGCTGATGGATATGTAGTCAATGTCACTAGTGACACTGGCACTGTGCAGACACTACAGGTGGAGGGAAGTAGTAATAATACAATCACACTGAATAGACTGAGAGGAGGAACAACTTATAGCATCACAGTCAGAGCCTATCAACAATTACTGGGACCTTCCAGTGCAATAAGTGTCTTCACTCATCTTTGTCAGCAAGAAGGTATTATTATTTTTAATTATAAGAAATTTACATATTATTTTACAGGTATCTACCTGACCGGATTTAATGCAGGAACCTGTTATACTAATGGTTCATATTTTTGGGATAGTACTGTCAATACAGCTAATGAAGCTATATCATGTGTGTTACCTGGTACTAGTCTAACTACTGGTCAGTGGGTTAGAGTTGCTGATCCTGACGATCCTGTTGACTGTAACAGTAATAGTGCCAGTGATCCTTTTCGTTGTACTAATGTCACTTCACCTGATGCTATTCTCAATCTTTATCTTGCTCAGGGACTACCAGCAGATCAGGAAGGCTGGTACAAGTGTTGTCTACCCACTGATTGTTCAGATCCTAACACTAACATCATCTTTGCTAATATATTCAGTAAGAGGATATTATAATCTCATACTGATGGGATAAATTTTACTTGTAGGATATGCAGAGATAGAATCATTTACTGTTGCTGATCTTCCTTCTGATATGACAGTATATCCTCAGGAATACAAACTGAATTGTGTTAAGATTGGAATATATTTGTATAGTATTAGCATAAGCATTGGTAGTACTGCACTAACTAATTACACTGGCTGTAATGATAATAATAGTAATTCCCCTTGTCTTGGTACTGTGTTAGTTAGTAGTACCAACACAATAAGATATACCGTTACTATCACATGGGATGGAATGAATGTCAGTAGTGGATCAATCAGTCAATCAACCACTGGAGATCAAATGTATCAGTGTCTACTGGATAATCCTAGTGGTAATGATAGAATACGTTTTTTAACCATAAAAGGTAATAGATACACATATAGTTATGGGTCTTACTGTCTCTTTCTATTAGTACCAGCAACTGCACCCTCTTCTCTTACTGTGGTCAGCAAGACAACTACCACTATCACTGTCAGTTGGACTGCACTTGATTCATCTGATGCTGATGGATATGTAGTCAATGTCACTAGTGACACAGACACTGTGCAGACAGTACAGGTGGAGGGAAGTAGTAATAATACAATCACACTGAATGGACTGAGAGGAGGAACAACTTATAACATCACAGTCAGAGCCTATCAACAATTACTGGGACCTGCTACTACAATTAGTGTACAGGCAGGGCTACCAGGTATTGCTACTGTACCTTTTAATGTGATTGTAACAAAATTATAATGTATTCCTAGTTATTAGTTCAATCAATCAGACACTAGTCTCATCCATTACACAACTTAATAACACTCAATATCGTATTGATTGTCTCACAACTACTGATATAAATCCTTCAACTGATGTTTACTGGTTAGTGAATGGAGTGATGAAGAGTAACTCAATGTATACATTAATTGATGTCCTGACATACAACAACACACTACTGGTATATCCTGACCCACTGGGAGTGTCAGTTAATGTTACCTGCATAGCGATGCTTGGACGAGTCAACTACAGTCAATCTGTGATATTAAATGGTAGATCTATATGATGATATTTTTACTTAATAAGATTTCTTAATTTTCTAGCTCCTAGTGGTCCTCCTAATAATGTGAGAGGGTTCATGTTAAATGAAACTGGTATCAAAGTGAACTGGACCACTTCATCAGAGACTAATGGATATGTGATTGTGTATACTACTGGAGGTGTAACAAGGAATGCAGTATCTACCAGGGATGATGAAATTGTACTAACAGATCTCTCACCAATGAGTACCTATACCATCAGTGTGTACTCATATATAGATCTTCCTTCAGTTAATAGTACAGTAACAGTGTTAAGATTTGATGGTGAGTTAATGTCATTGAGAGAGCGTAATTGATATCTGTTCTAGCTCCTAGTCCAGTAACTAGTCTCTCAGTATTTAATGTCTACACCACTGGTATTACAGTGAACTGGACTGTTCCCAGTAGCGACAACTATGTAACATACTACACCATCTCCTATACTCCATCTTGTCCCCAGTTATTATCAGTGAATGAGACAGTCTCTGTTGCTCCTCATCAGTCCACTACAACATACAGTTATACATTAATAGGTCTGTACAGTGGTATGAACTATACCATCACAGTGAGAGCTGGTAATGTACTAGGAAGATCTGATCCTAATTCAATTTATGAGGATACACGGTCATCAAGAGGTACATGTATCTATATTATTTTACTAATTTCACATTTATTGTGATGTCTTTATTAGCTCCTACTAGTGTGCCTAATTCTCTATCACTGTCACAGCCAAATAATAGTCTCACTTGGAAAGAGGTTAATTGTTCAGAACGTAATGGTCTAATCACTGGCTATACAGTGATGATCAGTAACAGTAGTATCACATACAACCTCACCAGTACCGAGAGATATATCATATTGAATGATCTAGTATTTGGTACTAAGTATAACATCAGTGTAGCTGCTGTCAATTTTGTTGGAAGAGGTCCCTTCAGTGATCCTATTTTAGTAGAGATTGGAATAGGTAAGTTAATAGCATAATTTGTATACCTGTATGCATAAAACAATTTAAAAGGTTAAGAAGATATTTTAAATACTGCCAAAATACAAACATTTTAACATATTAGTGTATCTGAAAAATGGAAAATTGTCTCCCAACCATTTTTGATGAGATTTGGTTATAAGACCTTGTACTAGACTACAGAAACTGTGGCCTAATTTTTTAACAACTTTAAAAATTAATAAAAAGTTAAGTTTTATAGGAAGTGGCTCAAAATTTTTATATAACATAGGGACATTCATATGTATCAGAATTCAATTTTAAAATGAAAATTATTTCTTATAGTTGTACTATTATGATGTTTTGTCAAATTAGACAAGGTGCTGAACACTATGCATTAATTGGTTTTGAGGTATTAGTGACTGCTTTTGAACAGTAGAAGTTGCTGGTTTTGAGATAATAGTGAAAAGTAACACTATATAGTTGGAAACCCTGACTCCTCTTATTAATTATACTACTCAGTGTGGTTTTATATTGTATTGATGTTTTACTCAGATTTGAAATAAACTTAACATACTGTAATAGTGCTTATCATATCTATTTAACAGGTCCAGCTCAAATTGATAGATTTAAGGAGCTTCCTAATCCAAGAGATAATGAGGTTGTTCAGGGAGCTGGGAGGAGAAAACAACCAGTTTATGGACACCAGAACAATACAATATCTCTTCATTGTAATTATAGGAGCAGAGTACCAGCCAATACTCAATGGCTTTGGGTGTTTCTTAATGGTACTCAAGTACCAGTGGATACAAATGATTCAGCAATCAACGTCACAGATGATGGAATGAACTCAATCCTGACCATATTTCCTTTTAGTCAACATTTTGCTGGCACTTATCGCTGTAACGCATCAAATGAAGCTGGAAGTGATACTGGCGATGTTATTATTGAATGTGAGATTATAATTATGCTTTAACTATTTTAAGTACTGTTCAGTTAGATCTCTTATAATTGAGGAAAAATCATGGCTGGCATCTCCATGGAGTCAAGTATGCTTGTATTTAGAATATGAGTATTTTTTATTTGTGTATAATTGCATCATTGTATTTTCTTTTTCTCTAGTGTATTCCTGATTGCCATCGAGGTATAAGAAACAGAACAGTTGTTTGCATGACTGTCTCTACTCGTATGATAATGGATGGTTGTAGTCCTCCTCCACCTTCAAGTGAAGAAACTTGCCATGAAAGAGGACCATGCACACACTGGGTAGCTGAATCTTGGTCAATGGTAGGCACTTGTCTAGCATAATCAGGGAATTATTTTCAATAATAATTATTATTGACATTTTGTCATTATGTCTTACAATTTTTACCATTTTATTTAAATAGTGTTCAAAGTCTTGTGGGGTTGGTTATCAAGTTCGTAGAGTCAATTGTCAAGCAACATATGACAGTAATATCACATTAAGTGATTTGGAGTGTTTGACAGCACGCCCTCCTGTCTTCAGATATTGCAATATTCATAACTGCCGTAAGTAATTGTATTACAATGAAAAATGTTTGTAGAATTTTTTGTCTGTAAACAATTTTATCATTAAGCCAAATGTTTGATAAATAAAATTAATAAGCTTTAATATTATATTAAATTTTGTCTCTTTGATTTATAGCATGCAGTGAACCAAAATTTTGCAAGCTAATTGTTGGAGCTGAATTGTGTTGGAGACTTGAGTATCAAAGAATTTGCTGTTACACTTGTCAACATACCCTGTAATAAAGAATAATTTTAGAATAAAAAATTTAACAATTTGTGCTGTTAATTGTTAATAAAATTATGCTGTAGATCTACTTGTAGTGTAATGTACCTTTAATGTGCATTGTTTATAATAACTGTGTTAGCATCATGATTTTCTCTATGAGTAAATTTATTGAAATCTTCCTTATCAGTTAAAACTGATGAAAAATATATAATTCAGAAACCTTTAAAATACATGCTATTCCTTTGACATAATGTATAAATTTGTAATTGTTATCAAGTAGATCTATAAATTAAATAAATTAATGTTATGTTAGACTCTATAGAGCTTAAATAAACTCTCACACCCACCATTACCACAAGAAGCCCATGATGCTCTTGGCCTCTATTGACCTTGCTATTGTCTTCTTGTTGAGTGTCAGTGAAGTTATTAGTCAATGTCCACCTTCCTCAGGTAAGACACTGGATGTGTATAATAACAACTGTATAGGTTTTTATAGGTATCTACCTGAGGTATGATGGAAACTGTTTTCCCAATGGATCATATTTTTCAGATAGTAGAATCAGACCAACTCCTCTAGAGTGTGGTTTACCTGGTGCTACTCTGAATGGTGGACAATGGATTGGTCCTAATGGAGTAGTTCCTTGTGATGGTGGTAACAATGCAAATGTTGAATGTACTACTGGGTCAGGTGCTAGTCTCAGTGTTAACATAAATCCACCAAGCTTTCTTGAAGCAACGGGTGATGGCTGGTACAAATGTTGCCTGCCCAACGATTGTTCAAATCCTAACACTAACAGCATTTTTGCTAATATATTCAGTAAGAGAAGACTATATTCAGTTATTCACTTACTGATGTAATTATTTTTATTTGTAGGATTTACTCAAATAGAATCATTTACTGTTGCTGATCTTCCTTCTGATATGACAGTATATCCTCAGGAATTCAAATTGAATTGTGTTAAAATTGGATTCATTCGTTACGATGTTATGATGATCATTGGTAATACTCTGCTGGCTAATTACACTAATTGTCATGATCCTGATAATGCTTGTCCTGGTACTGTGATATTTAGTAGTACCAACACAATAAGATATACCATTACTGTCACATGGGATGGAATGATTGTCAGTAATGGATTGATCAATCAATTAGTTACTGGAGATCAAATGTATCAATGTAGGATAGCAGATCATCCTGATGCTAATGCAGATAGAACACGTAATATAACTGTAAAAGGTAATGTCATTATATCAATCAATGCTAACAATTAATTCTTGTTACCAATAATATTAGTGCCAACAACTGCTCCCTCTTCTTTCACTGTGGTCAACAAGACAGCTACCACTATCACTATCAGTTGGACTGCATTTGATTCATCTGATGCTGATGGATATGTAGTCAATGTCACTAGTGACACAGACATTGTGCGGACAGTACAGGTGGATAGAAGTAGTAATAATACAATCACACTAAATCGACTAAGAGGAGGAACAACTTATAACATCACAGTCAGAGCCTATCAACAATTACTGGGACCTGCCAGTGCAATAAGTGTCTTCACTCATCTTTGTCGACAAGAAGGTATTTTTGTTTTTAATTATGATTATAATTAAGAAATGTACACAATTAATTTTACAGGTATCTACCTGACTAGATTTAATGCAAGAACCTGTTATATTAATGGTTCATATTTTTGGGATAGTACTGTCAATGCAGCTAATGAAGCTATATCATGTGTGTTACCTGGTACTAGTCTAACTACTGGTCAGTGGGTTAGAGTTGCTGATCCTGATGATCCTGTTGACTGTAACAGTAATAGTGCCAATGATCCTTTTCGATGTACTAATGTCACTTCACCTGATGCTATTTTCAATCTTTATCTTGCTCAGGGACTATCAGCAGCTCAAGAAGGCTGGTACAAGTGTTGTCTACCCACTGATTGTTCAGATCCTAACACTAACATCATCTTTGCTAATATATTCAGTAAGAGGAGATTATAATGTTATTTAGTGCCTGGTGTAATGATTTTTATTTGACTGTAGGATTTTCAGAAATAGAATCATTTACTGTTGTTGATCTTCCTTCTGATATGACAGTATATCCTCAGGAATACAAACTGAACTGTACTAAAATTGGCCACCATGAGTATGGTATTAGTATGAACATTGGTAGCACTGCACTTGCTAGTTATACTCGCTGCAATGATGAAAGTAATGATTCTCCTTGCCCTGGCACTGTGTTAGTTAGTAGCAGCAACACAATAAGATACACTGTTAATGTCACATGGGATGGAATGAATGTTAGTAGTGGATCAATCAGTCAATCAACCACTGGAGATCAAATGTATCAGTGTATAGTTACAGTTACTCATCAACCTACTAAAAGACGTAATGTAATTATAAAAGGTAACAAATTATACATTTTTATCACCTTGCAAATCTATTTGATACTTTTAGTTCCAGCAACTGCTCCCTCTTCTCTTACTGAAGTCAATAAGACAATTAACACTATCACTGTCAGTTGGACTGCACTTGATTCATCTGATGCTGATGGATATGTAGTCAATGTCACTAATGACACAGACACTGTGCAGACAGTACAGCTGGAGGGAAGTGGCAATAATACAATCACACTGAATGGACTAAGGACAGAAACAACTTATAACATCACAGTCAGAGCATATGAACAGTTACTTGGACCTGCTACTACAATCAGTATACAGACCTTACCAGGTATTGCTACTGCACCTTTTAATATACTTGTAACATTTTTTATGTGTTTTTAGTTATTAATTCAATCAATCAGACACTAGTCTCATCCATTACACAACTTAATAATTCTGAATATCGTATTGATTGTATCACAACTACTAATATAAATCCTTCAACTGATGTTTACTGGTTAGTGAATGGAGTGATGATAAATAACTCAAACTATTCATTAATTGATGTTCTGACATACAACAACACACTACTGGTATATCCTGATCCACTGGGAGTGTCAGTTAATATTACTTGTAAAGCAATGCTTGGAGAAGTCAACTACAGTCAATCTGTGATATTACAAGGTATGATTATTCTTTAAACAATGATAGATATTTTTGTCTGCTCTGTTTTATATAGCTCCTAGTGGTCCTCCTAATAATGTGAGAGGGTTTATATTAAATGAAACTGGTGTCAAAGTGAACTGGACCACTTCACCAGAGACTAATGGATATGTGATTGAGTATACTACTAGAAATGTGACAAATGTAGTATCTACCAGTGAAGGTGAAATTGTACTGACAGATCTCTCCCCATTGAGTACCTATACCATCAGTGTGTACTCATATATAGATCTTCCTTCAGTTAATAGTACAGCAACAGTGTTAAAATTTGATGGTGAGTTATTATCATTTCAAGAGTGCATAATTAATCATTTGTTTTATACTTGTAGTTCCTAGTCCAGTAACTAATCTCTTAGTATCTAATGTATCTACCACTGATATTAAATTGAACTGGACTATTCCCAGTAGCGACAATTATGTAACATACTACACCATCATCTCCTATACTTCATCTTGTCCGGAATCATCATTAGTGAATGAGACAGTCTTTGTTGCTCCTCATCAGTCCACTACAATGTACAGTTATACATTAGCAGGTCTGTACAGTGGTTTGAACTATACCATCACAGTGAGAGCTGGTAATGTACTGGGACAATCCAATTCTAGTTTAGTTTATCAGGATACACGGTCATCCAAATTAGGTATATTATATTCTTTAGAAATTTACTTATGTGCATTTTTCTTGATATTCCAATAACATAGCCATACTGGCCATAGTGTCTGATACCAATAATTGATCCAATATTGTCATTCCACATTTTAGACACAGCTCTACATGCACATCATTTATTTACTTGATAATTTTAGTGTCCTCACTAATTCACTTACTTAATCTTTTGGAAATTTAGAAATTTTCTAGAAAATAATTAATTATTTTTAGGAAATTGTAAGTTCCCCCCCCCCAAATCATACATTTATCCTCCAGCAAAATATTAATTTTTCGCAAAAAGTATTGATTTTTGATGTATCATTAATTTTTTCCTCAAAGTTTGCCAGAAAATTTGTTATGTGAATTTTTCCAGGAAGTTTTAATTTTTGGGAAATAATAATTTTTTTGGAAAATTTGCTTCGAAATTTTTAATTTTAATCAACTGACCCTTTAATTTTATGCTCATTACCATGTGTCAAAATATTTTTACCATACGTATACTGTAATAATTATTTTATCTTTTAGCTCCTACTGGTGAACCTAATTTTCTGTCACTATCACAACCAATTAATAATCTCACTTGGAATGAGGTTAATTGCTCTGAACGTAATGGTATAATCAAAGGTTATATAGTGATGATCAGTAACAGTAGTTTCACATGCAACTTCACCACTACTGAGAGATTTATTATATTGAATGATCTAGTAAATGGTACTCGGTATAACATCAGTGTAGCTGCTGTCAACTCTTTTGGAACTGGTCCCTTCACTTCAATCAATGTTTTTATTCATTGTCAACAAGGAGGTATTTTGATTTTAATTATGCTAATTTGCAAGTATTGATTTTATAGATATATATTTGAAATATAATAGAAACTGTTATTCAAATGGATCATATTTTTGGGATAGCACTGTTGATTCAGATACTGAAGCTATATCATGTGTGTTACCTGGTGCTAGTCTAACTACTGGTCAGTGGGTTAGAGTTGCTGATCCTAATGATCCTGTTGACTGTAACAGTAATAGTGCCAGTGATCCTTTTCGTTGTACTAATGTCACTTCACCTGATGAACCTGATGCTACTCTCAGTCTTTATCTTGCTCAGGGACTACCAGCAGATCAAGAAGGCTGGTACAAGTGTTGTCTACCCACTGATTGTTCTAATGCTACTGACATCATCTTTGCTAATATATTCAGTAAAAGAAATTATGCATGACTACTTACTTTTATAATTATATTTCATTTGTAGGATATTCAGAAATAGAATCATTTACTGTTGCTGATCTTCCTACTAATATGACAATATATCCTCAGAAATACAAACTGAATTGTAATAAAATTGGATTTTTTCAGTATGATATTAGTATGAGCATTGGTAACTCTACACTGGCTAGTTATACTAATTGTGATGACCGAGTTAGTAATTACCCTTGTTATGGTACAGTGCTGGATAGTAATACCAACACAATAAGATATACTGTTACTATCACATGGGATGGAATGAATGTCAGTAGTGGATCAATCAGTCAATCAACCACTGGAGATCAAATGTATCAGTGTCTACTGGATAATCCTAGTGATGGTGATGATAGAACACGTACTTTAACAATAAAAGGTAATGTCTATTAATTTCAATAATTATTACTATTAACAATATTAGTACCACCAACTGCTCCCTCTTCTCTTACTGAGGAGAACAAGACAATCAACTCTGTCACTGTCAGTTGGACTGCACTTGATTCATCTGATGCTGATGGATATGTGGTCTATGTCACTAGTGACACAGACACTGTGCAGACAGTACAGGTGGAGGGAAGTAGTAATGATACTATAACACTGAATGGACTGAGAGGGGGAATAACTTATAACATCACAGTCAGAGCCTATCAACAATTACTGGGACCTGCTAGCAGTGCAATCAGTGTACATATATTAGGTATGTGTTAAGTTGTAACATTAAATGGGCATGTACCCTATAATAGGAAATTATAAAAATTTTAAAATTTACCATTTTGAAAAAATATATCTGCACTATAGTACAGAGACTTTGGGCCAATTTTGGAGCAACTTTTAAAATGCGTAAAGAAGCCAATTTTTATTTTAATTGTTTAAAATGTTTTTATGCAGGCACAAGAACATACATTAGAAAAATACACTAAAAATGGAAAATTTACTCCAATAACTATAGCTGTACTAGTAAATCATGTTTTGTTGAATTAAAATTGTATGGTCAAGGTGCTGAGTACAAAATCCTGTGAAAATCCTGACTAATTTTATTTATTATAGCACTCAATAAAAATAAATTGAAATACATTTCAATTTTTTAACATAATTGTGCTATCATTGAATAGGTCCAGCTCAAATTGATAGATTTAAGGAGCTTCCTGATCCAAGAGACAATGAGGTTGTTCAGGGAGCTGGGAGAAGAAAACAACCAGTTTATGGACACCAGAACAATACAATATCTCTTCATTGTAATTATTTGAGCAGAGTACCAGCCAATACCCAATGGTTTCGGGTGTTTCTTAATGGTACTCAAGTACCAGTGGATACAAATGATTCTGCAATCAACGTCACAGATGATGGAATGAATTCAATCCTGACCATATTTCCTTTTAGTCAACGTTTTGCTGGTACTTATCGCTGTAACACATCAAATGAAGCTGGAAGTGACACTGCAGATGTGATTGTTAAATGTAAGACTATATTATAATAATTATTATTAATTATAATTTTGTTAACTAATTGACTGTTCATTTAGATGAGCCTCTTGTATGGTTTGCATTTCCATGGAGTCAAGTATGTTTATACTAACACATATACTGTACATGTATCTAGAAATAGGAACAAATTGTGACCCCCTGAGAGCTAGGGGGCAGAAGGGAAAATTCTTGGCCCCCTAACAATATTGTGGGCTCAGCAATCAAAATAAAAACTTCATCTCAGAACATCATTTTAAAACTATTGGGCAAAATATGTAAAAGGGCTCTCAACAGTTCTGCATGAACTAGGAACTGGTAGTTTTGCAAGCCAGACCATTCCCCAACCTACAGTCATTGGGGTGGCTGGATGGTGAATGGTCTGGCTTGCAAGACTAAGGCCAACAGATTGTGATAAACAATCTCACATAGTATGATGCCTATAGCTTTCCATCATTTTATTGTTTATAAAGAGCTCATTATTATTATCTTCTAGTGTATCCCTGACTGTCATCGTGGTGTAAGGAATAGAACAGTTGTTTGCATGACACTCTCCACTCGTATGGTAATAATGGATGGTTGTAGTCCTCCTCCACCTCCAAGTCAAGAAAGATGTTATCAAAAAGGACCCTGTACCCACTGGGTTGTTAGGCCTTGGTCAATAGTAAGCACTTTCAAATTTAGATGCATTTTATTAAATTGAATTTCACTGCAATCGCAATGGTTTATACCGGCATACATGTATGCATAAAATCTCCAAAAATGGTGATATTTTAACAAACAGTAACTTCAAATACAATTGCAAATGCATTTCAAATGCAATTTTAATGACTCAAAAATGTATTAAATGTAATTCCAATGTACTTGATCCCAACCCTGCTTTCAATGCATTAGCATGATCAGCAAATAGCAGTAATTTTGTATAAACTCAATTAGAATTTTTTCATGATGATCTATTGGAAATTTTTAAAATAATATAGTGTTCAAAGTCTTGTGGGGTTGGTTATCAGATTCGAAGAGTCCAGTGTCAAGCAACATACAACAGTAATATCACATTCAGTGATTCAGAGTGTTTGACGGCACGCCCTCCTGTCTTTAGATACTGTAATTTTCAAGACTGCCGTAAGTACTTGTATTGTAATTAATTGATAAAATACTTTAGCTACTTGTACTTATTGTAATACTTAGCTAGTTATGTTTGAAGCATTTTTAGGTGCTAATTGTCTGTACCATGAAATTAAAATCCTTAAAAGTGCCATCCCTTTACAAGCTATGTAAACTGTCTATGACAAAAATTAAAGCCATGAATTGCCTGGTGACTATTGACAATAATTTATATAGTTATTCAAGCTAAACCTCAGCTTTATATAGATCAAGTTATGTACAAAAATTATTTTTTATAATAAAAAAGTGGATTTTATGTTATTATTTGCTACTCTTATTTTGTATCAATTTATAGCATGCAGTGAACCAAGTTATTGCAAGATAATTCTTGGAACTGAATTGTGTTGGAGACCTGAGCATCGAAGAACTTGCTGTCACTCTTGTCAATAAGCTCTTTTGGAAAAAAGAGAGAAAACTAATTCAAATTTGACTGCATGATAACTTAAAATGCATGTAGACTATATATTCACTGTAATTTTTTTACTATGAACTGTTCTTTGCATGTAATAAAATTACAGTGAGGCATGCATGGTACCTTTTCAGTTTTGACACGTCCAAAATAATTGTCTTCTAGTGATTTTTAGCGAACTATCTTGTACGTGTACAGGTCTTTGCCAATTTCACTGACATCAGCTCAAACACAGCAAAGGAATGCAATTTGCCTTGGAAGGTGAACAACCCACAATTAAGTCACAGCAATGAAGTGGATGTCTACTAGAGGGTATGACTTCCCTGTTCCTACCTACACCTTTTTTTATAGTCTCACTAGCACCATGTACATTCTATTCCTCAGCCTACAGTCATTGAGGTTTAGCTAGCGTGACTAATCCTTGTCAGTGTTCAACACTAAAGCAGCTTGTGTAACTGCATGATACAGAGCAACTTTAATCACTACAGGCTGAGGAGCCACAGTATTTTCATAGTAGTCTTTATTTTGGTTAATTTTAAAATATTCAATGATAATATGCAACTCCTTATAAAGAAAAATAATGATGATAATAATAATAACATGGAGTAACATAATTAATGGTTAATGATTATAGCATGCATTTACACAGGAGAAATATCATACAGGTCGGTATATGCGTTTAATTTTTCTTCCAGTTCCTTCAACATGTCTGGACACACTTCCATTGTATGTGATGCAGCTTCCTCTCTTTCTTTGAGATCCTTCAGCTCTTGATCATACTTTTCAGCCTTTAGTATCAGAATATCGAGTTGAGCTTTGAGGTCTGCCTCTAAACTCTCTTTTGAAGATTTATCATTGAGAAAGCTCTGACACTCTTCCTCAGCAGCTGAAAGAGAGAGAGAAGGAGAGAAACAGAGAGAGGGAGAGATAAATAAAGAGAGAGAATGATGGAGGGCGGGATAAAGAGAAAGAAGAATCACGTAAAATAGTACACATTTAATTATTATTGATTTTTCAAACCTTCTAGTTCCTCTTCTGCTGGATACAGCATTTGGCGTAACTCTTCTTCTTTCTCTGAGAGTGTTGGGAGCAATTCTTCACCTAATCCCAGCAACACTAGGTTCTGTGCAAACTTTAGTAAGTCTTAAAAAAAAATTTAAAAAAATCAACAATACAATCTGCAAATGAAAACTGCAATAAGAAAGAGAACATATTTGGAACATAATTTTTCCAGTAAACTACGTGTACATATGTACATGTATGTAGCATAGCCAACAGCTTATAATTTTGGTATGATTAAAGAATTGTACTGATTAATGAAAAAATTGACAAAATTTTGAAACAGAATCAGCGAGACTCTACGCATTATTGAATCTTCAAATCAAGCATGATTATGGCAGGGTTTTTCACATGATTTTGGCATAATAGTACAAAGTGCATTATAGTGTATTTCGTCAAAAATGTTTCTAAAAGAATTCTCAATTTTTATAAATTTTTTTCAATATATATACATGTACATGCTCTTATGTTGTGTAGCAAGTTTGCTGATCAAAATTCGATTTTTTTTTACAAATTTTAAAAGCTACTAAAAATCATGTCTTTGGCCAAATTTCGCCAAAAAAGACTAGGAGAGAATTCTTCATTTTAATACTTTTCCTAATACATGTACATATACATGTACATGTCCTAATATTTTGCTGCAAGTTTGAGCTGATTCCAATCAAAATTATTTTTTAAGAATTTTTAAAGTTACTAAAAATTGGGCCAAAGACCAAAGGCTAAAGCCTTTGTTTTTTAGCTAAATTTTTTCAAAAATGGCTAAGAAAAAATTCTCAATTTTTATATTTTCTGATAACATACATGTATACATGTACATGTTCTTATGATGTGTAGAAGGTTTGAGCTGATTCTGATCAAATTTAGATTTTTAATGAATTTTTAAAGGCACTCAATATAGTACTTTACTGTTTAGCATGCTTTGTAGGGAAGCCCTAGCTGCTTATTATTAATACATGTCTATTTTTAAGTTTAAATTTTATCATCTTACTTCATTGGACAGGCAATATTACACTGCCATATAGTGGTTTTTTAGGATAACAAATTTTGCCAATTTTGCAGATTTTTAAGATTTGCAAAATTAAATTTCTTAGAAATCAATTTAATACGGGACAAGATGAGAATAGTAGAAATTCGTAAAAATTAATTTCATGAACCTCTAGAAACAGGTCATTGGTGAAAATTACTATCCTAAAAAACCACTATGTGGTACTACATATACATGTACATATGAATGCATTTGTATTGTACTTACTATCTGGGTCATTAATATCTGACTGCTGCTTATCCTTCACACTAGAAGTTGTGGTTGCATGTTTTCCATTATTAGTAGTACCAGTAGTTGATGAATATAGTGGAGTAGCACTGTATAGGTCACCACACCGCCCACACTTGAATCGACTATACTGCCTCACACGATGACACCTTATACAAGTTATAGGTGCTCTATCGCTAGCTAAGAAAAGTTGAGAAAATGTAAATATACATGTACATGTACAGTGTATACATATACATACAGTACATGCAGGGATTCATACACAACTTTCTTGTAGGGCAGGGCATGCTGCAAATTAACAATAACATAGCATATTATTAGTGGATTTTTATTTTGTAATATTACGCCAATCAAGTGAAAGCCAATGATGGCATAAAATATTATACACTTGATATCAATTGTGTGTTGTAATGAACATTACAGTGAATTACATCAAGTGTTAACCCATTTATTTATACCCAGACCATTTTAGGGAGGGGATCCAGGTTTCCCACACCCCGTCTGAATTCTTGTACATGTACATGTGTTAATGAATGAGTATACCTGCTTTTTTGAACTGTTTAGTTGTCATTCCTAGTCTACCACTCTCATTAGAAGTTCTGAATACTGAGAGAGTAGAAAGAGAGAGAGAGAGAGAGAGAGAGAGAGAGAGAGAGAGAGAGAGAGAGAGAGAGAGAGCAGAGAGAGAGAGAGAGAGAGAGAGAGAGAGAGAGAGAGTAGAGAGAGAGAGAGAGAGAGAGAGAGAATAGAGAGAGATCATCATTTAATATGTACACATACACAGGCACTACATGTATGATACATGTACATGTACGTTACATACTTCTTCCTCCTACTACCCATTTAGTTGCAGTTGGTGGAAGAGCAGTCCCACATTTAAAGCACTCTGTACTGTGACTGTGATTGGGTCTGTTACACTGAGGACAGGGTCTACCCTATAAAGAGAGAAGATACATGTACAGTAAATCAATGAGGTTTCCAAATGCTATAAAGACCGCTACATGATAGCCATGCAAAAATAGTACTAACTAACCACTTCTTAAATACATGGGCACTTTTTGGGCAGGGGCTTCTATTTCAGGGTTCTGTCTCCTTAATTTAGTTGTATATACCGGTACATTTACATTTACATGTACATGTACATGTAACTACTAGTCTTTTAATAGTAAACATTTGAGAAAGGTTTCAAGTACTTGTATAACCCAGTACATTATACATGTACACAAATGTATGTACATGTACATGTATGGGTTCCAGTACATATACATTGCCAAGGGTTCTTGTACATATGTTTTGAATTTCAAGGGTTCCTGTACCTGTATTGGTGCTTTACATTGTTGACACTTCTTTGCTTTTCTCGGATTGATCCCCCCACACTCCATACAGTTCCTTGATGATGATATATTCCCACTGTACAGTGTCTTTGTTACTAACGAACTGCTAGACTCAGTTGATTTGGAGGGGAACATGCTCTTCAGTGCAGCAGTTCTTATTGGAGGAGCTGAGAAGCTACCAGCAGGTAACTTTGGGTGATCATCAGAATCACCAGACGAATCGGATTGTGAGTCCGACTTTTCATCAGCTACCTAAGACATCAATTATAATAAATATTGTAACACTAATTTGAGATAACACTAAATTGAGATAACACTGATTTGAGATATCAACTAACATTGGGATGAGCATCAAGTCTTGGTACTTCAAATCTCGGTACATCAAGTCTTGGTACTTTTAAACCTACATACAAATACATGTATGCTCTTATGTCAAAGATTTCTGATCATAATTTATTTTAAAGTATCATTAAATTGTGTATTACATGTACATGTATATACATTGTAAATTATGCAATTTAATTGAAAAAGTTTAAAGAATTTCTACACAATACTGCATTTGTATTCTTCTATCAATAATAGAGCATGGTAATGTATTGTTGGGAATCTGCAAAACCTCTTATTACAACCAATGCTTTTGTTAATCTACAATCCACAAAAAGGAAAAAAAGCCCTTCAAGCAATACATGTACCTTAGAGTGACTTTTACTAAATTTTGCAATCTTAGCACATTGCAGATTTTGCAGGTATTAAAAATTAAAATTAAGACATCGATACTAATAGTTACATGGCATAATTAATAACTGCAGGTATTAATAATCGCAATTTTTAACCTAAACACTAAATTTGCAATTAATAGTACCTGTATTTATAAGTAACCTTGTAGTACATGTACATGTACATAATACTACTTGGTCTGTGTATGTCTGTGAATTATAGCAAGTATGAATCCATGTATTAAATTTATGCAAACTATAGGGAGTAGAAGGATTTCCCCCTTTCCCACCCCTCCTCCTGTATGACACACTGTGTACATGTACGTGTATCCAAATACAGTAAATGACTAAATGTATATGACTACATGACATGTACATATGTACATGCATGTACAATACATGTGATACTAATTGGTATCTTACTGGTTTGCTTCTGTACCACTGGTGACAGGCTGGCAGTTGGAGTCGAGGACGAGAGTTTAGTTCTATCAAGAGCAGCACCACACTGAGTGCACTTAGAACATAAAGTATAATTAATGGACCCACAAACAGGGCAGGGATAACCGACGAGAAATATACCGCAATCTTCGCACCTCTTCTTAGAAGAAGCATAACTCCGACCACAGGAATAGCATTTACGCTTCCCGTGGGACACAGGAGCAAAGATTGAAGTGGGAGAAGTTGTAGCTGAAGCGGCAGCAGCCAAACGATGATTCTTCATACTTATCTTTTTTGCTAAACTCTGGAGTGTGGAGGTGTTTTTGTACGAGAGACGATTATTAGAAGAAGTGGGGGGAGTAGAAGGAGGAGGAAGGGACTCGGATTCTGTCACAAGATCTGATATACTTGTATCAATACGGTCTCTTGGATAAGACACGACAAATTTCTCTTCGGTGTTAGTGAAATCTCTAAACACGTCTGGCTCCAATGGTTCGACTGATAGTGCATTGTTAATAAAGAGATCATAAAATACCTGAGGTATTTTAACATCATACGAAGAAACAAGTCTCTCCATTTCTGATATACGCAGCAACCCACAGACAGGGGATGAACTGGGTAGGGCACCCAGTCTTATTAGGCCCTGTCTTATGAATGAAGGTGCTCGGATGCTCTTTACTCCGAGTTTTCTCATTCTCATTTTGAAGTTCATTCGAGTCACGAGATGCTTGAAAAGGACTTCGTATATTTGATAGAGACCGATGTAGTTGATGTTCCTTGCACTCGTGAATACGGCAATTTTGTGCTCGCCCCATTTGACCTGAAATAACACACCTTCATCTGGAAAATAAAGAATAAAAAAAATCTCTCTAGCTCTAATCTCCTACATGTAGTTCTCGGGTTCTGGTTTTTATAGATACATGTACATGTATACCTGGCATTACCTTCACAATTCACATGTACATGTAAATACTACTGGAGTCCAAATTCTTTAAAAATTGGAGCTTAAATTGCTTATATTAGGCAAAATCCCAACAAAGTTGCTATACATTGTAGCTACACTGTATACAATTCAGTATTTGCATAGACCTTGCGAATTGGCAGTTGTACATGTACATGTACATGCAGGTGAGCTGTTACTAGCAGTTTAATGTGACAACAAAATATACTGTAGGAACACAAACTACACACATAAATTTATTACACTATGGAACCGGGCCAAACCATGCTGAACCAGGCTGAGCTGGCCCTGCTGTACTAACCATGCTGGCCTGGTTTGGCCCAGCTCACTTCAGCTCAGTTTGGTTACTGTTTACACTATCAAATGAAACTGTGCTGGCCCACTTTAAACAGGACTGGCTCAGTTAAAGAAGCTAGTGTAAACATAGTATTAGACAATCCCTTTAAAGTTTATGATTGGTAATTGTACATGTACTATAATTATGGTTTGCTATACATGATGCCACTAACCAGTATTAAGCATGGCTCCTGCTAGTGTTACATCAGGATGAGAGGCAACATCAGGTCTAACTGACAGAGGTGTCTTTAATGGAGACCCTATAACACTCCCTCCTCCTCCTCTTCTATGAGGGGAGGACTGAGGAGGTGTCTTCACTGGTGAGTTAATGAGGTATCTCTGTATCTCTTCTTCAGCAACCTGTTAATGGAAAAATATCATTATGATAATAATTATTCCACTATTATCATATAAATACATGTATATGTACTATGTACATGTACAATGTACAGTATGTATCTTAACATCAAACAAAATTATTCATTAGTAGTTTAAGGATAGATATTACATAGTGGTAGAAGGTAATTCAGGTTTCCTTACATATTTGTGACATTCTCCTACTACAGCTGGTGGTATAAATATGGCTGCTTCTTTAGCTAATTTGATGACTCCACTCAATGGGATTAACTTGGAATAACCTAGGGAGAGAGAAGGGAAAGGGAAAGGAGATAAGAGAAAGGGAGAGAGGAATGGCGTTGGGAAAGAAGAGAAAGAAAAGGTGAAAGAAGAGGACAAACGACAAAGATATAAAAAGAACAGAGTTGTACATGTACAGTACATGTCAATTTCAATTACCCCTCTCTTTTACACTTTCCTCTCATACCTACATGTATACTCACACATACATGTACACATACATATGTACATTGTATTATACAGACATACTATACACAGCATTGAAATTTTGGGAAACGGAAGATCTAGGCTAAATGTGGAAGAACTAAAGCTAAAAGATGGGACCTAGTCCTACAATGTACATATAGACCAAACGTGGGAGATCAAAAGCTTCCTAATCTCATTCTAGATCTAACAGTGGCCATTACATGCATGTACATGTACAATTGTACATGTACTTCCATTTCACTCCTTTCTCTACAATCATTTTACCAGATGAAGGGTCAATGGATCCCCTAGCCCTCAGTGCATGAATCTGTAATGAAGTGGCTGGTACTGTTGGTACACCTAGTCTTGTCCTCTTTTGTAAACTGACCTGACTCCTTTGACTAAATATCTAAAATATAAATACAATATATCATTTTGATGTCACTTTGATGAATACTAATATTTATACATGCAAACAACAACATTGAAAAATAATAACAACAATTATTATTTTTCTAACATACACATGTACACATAACTTTATGCTTCCATGTTTTTAACAAAAAACTCTCCTACTTAAAACACATACTATAACTTCAAATCAATATTAAATTATTTTGTTGTCATTTTATGATAAATAGATAAATAAATAATAATCTTGTCTCTTCACTTACTTTAGCAACCAGTTCAGCAATGGCTACATAAGGTTCCCCAGAGGGCGGGGTCAGGAGAGTGATGCTCCTCCCATCACCCCAAGGAAGATAATTATAATCCAAATCTAAAATTAAAAAATGTACATTATATACATGTACATGTACATTGTAAGGTGGGTACTAATTTTGTAAAGGCTATTACCACTTACACATGTACATGTATACTAATTTTATTCAATTACATGTATCATACGTGTAGATGAACATGTACATGTACATAGCACCTTAATTAATATGTACACTGTACATACAGGGTACATGTACTTACTCGCTAAATTTGCTAAAATTATGTACATGTAAATGTAATGAGATGAAGGTATACATGTACATGTAAATCTAACTAAAACTAAAAGCAAAGAAAATCAAAAATGTACATGAACATGTGTAGGCTAAAATTAATGTATGAGAGCTCCTATCCTCCTCCTCTTGATCTACAATGTACCAGTGAGCGCCATATAGCAGGTAATTTTGGAGGGACTAAATTTTGGTGAATTGCTCAAGTTTAGTGATTGGCAAATTTTAATTTGGCAAAATTGTGGTCACAAGCCATTGAGCATGCGTATAATGACTCAATTTTTATTTTAATAAAAGGTATCAAAACACCAAATTTGCCAAATTTTATCCCTTCTAAAATTAGACGCTATAATGGTAATTAAGATAACATTACCTTGATCACTGAGTGGTGAGAGTCCAGAGTGTGAGGTCTTCCTCTCCTTCTTCTTATTAGTCCCAAGGTACAGTTTAGTTCCTGAGGGTGACATCATGTCATTGCTGGGTACTGGAGGAGTGGAGGATAGAGACTCTCCAGGAAGAGATGAGTATGAGTCACACTGATTGATAGAGGGATCATCCGGAACAACACGGGGAGGATACTAGAATAAAATATAATAATAATTTTTGAGCTATAAATGTAGACATTGTAATTACATGTACAAAACAACTCTGCAAGTTTGTGTCAAATCGTCAATCATCTTGACTTCGGAAATTGCCAGTTATTTTTACTTGTACATTCTACTTTGTGAAGTGCTAATTGAATTAATGTAATACAATGTAAATGCGGCTAGAAAATTGTGCCGTATAGCGGGTTTATTTCGAGAATAACAAATTTCACAGATTTCGCAAATTTTTAAGATTTGCAAAATTAAATTCCTTGAAAATCAATTTAATAAGGTATAAGATGGTAGAATAGTGCAAATTTGCGAAAATTAATTATGCAAACTTCCAGATACGGGTATTCGCAAAATTTATTATCCTTGAAATAAACCCAGTACTATACGGTATCAAGTACAAAACTGTATATGCAATAACAATTAATTTACAATTCATGTGTAGTAGTGACCAGAAGTGCTGTATAACGCAATGGTGATATTCTATTATACATGTACATGTATATTGTACAGCACTTACACAGTCACAATGCAATTAAGTATTGCGAACCTATTTAATAACTTAATAATAATAACTATTAATAGCTAACTATTATTAATACCTATCAATAACTTAATAAAAATGACTATTGTAGCTCAATAATAGCTTACTATTCCATTGCTGAGGTCAGTGAGGTACTGTGGTACTGAGAGGTTCCAGTGAGAGTACATCTTAATGACATCAACAGTTTTGTATATGATGACACGACATGCTTTAATACCAACTATACCCTCTGATTTTAAATGATTTAAAGCAGCCCTGGAATAAAACACAATAAAACAAATAATAATAATATAATACATAATACCAATAATAATGTACATGATATAATAATTATAATAATAGAACAACATTTCTCTATTTTTATTACATGTCAGATATACGTGTACAAGCTCTTATACTACATGTACACTGTATGTATTAAGTTTAAGCTGATTCTAACCAAAATTGAATTTTTCATAAATTTTAAATTTGCTCAAAAATTTGGAAAAATACCATGAAAATTTTTATGAAAAACGGTTAGGGGAGAATTCTTGGTTTTATTGTATTTTCTATGTGTTCATGCCTGATTTCAATCAAAACAGGAGTTTAAAATAAAATTTCATTACTTTCATTTCAGTTAATTAAAGTATATGTACATGTACATGTGTACATCAATAAATTTCCCAGTACTAGTAACAGTAAAATACACTTGTACATTTGCTTAGATCTGCACATGCAATCGAGTGCTACATGTACATGAACACATGTACATGAATGTGTATGTACAGCACATGTGTACATGTACAGTATGTACATAAAGGATATTGACCCAGGCCTCTACCTAGTACACATTCATGTATGCATGTACATGTACATGTAGATGTACTTTGAGGCGTATTCCAGTGGTATGTTCAATAATGATCTTAATGGAGCTACAATGTTCTGATTTGCCTGAGGTAGTATTGATTGTATTTCTGTGTTTAATATGTAATAGATTCCTTGCTGATATACCAGTGATAATGTTACCCCATTAGGAAATTGAAGATATTTCACTTCACCTAAAAACAAAACAAAATAATTTCACATGTACATGTACATGTACATGTACAGTACATTGTACTTGATCCATTTTCCTTTCTCTCTCCCTCACTCCTCTTCCACATAACATAAAAGCATACATGTACATTGTATATAAATGTATAAAAAATTATAAATTTTGGTAAAATTTGGCCAGCAACCATGCATGTACATGTACTAAAAACTTAGGCACAATCTTCAAGCAACTTTGAAAATTTGAAAAAGCCTAGCTGTGTGTTTATATACCAGTACTTCTATTTTTGAAATAAACAGGGGAAACCTGGAGACATAGTACATTTACATGTACATGTACATGTACACATAGGCCAAATATAAGAGATTATGAACACCCTCGAGTTCTATATACTGTACATGTACATGTACACATTCTACATGTACTTGAATCATTCACATAACTGACCAGTCTTATCATTATCAGTATCATTATCATCTCCATTACGAGGACTGTCTTCAGAGTATCTCTCATTACCAATCATACTCATGGCAAGACTAGCATTAATCTGACCAGGGGAGAGGACAGGAGGAGTCGTGAGCCCCTTATCCTTTGAGAAGTAATTAGAAGAGTGGGCGGGAGGGGTTGAGAGATGAGAATTAACAGAGGCAAGGGCAGGCTGCGAAGGGACGACTTGAGAATTATAAGTTTTCAGGATATCGGCAGGATTAGACTTAGAATTGATTTGAGCAAAATCGGATAAATTCCTTGGAGGTTTCTGCTTATAGTACGTACAGAGCCTGATGAAATCAACGATTGTTAAGTAGTGAGAGCGAGCAGTGATAGGTAGTTGGAGCTTCTTGAGGACATTAATATGGCTCTCGGGTAGGGCAATACTTTTAGCTCCTATTTTAGGTATCCTGTTAGAGACGGCATTACGAGTGAGGCCAGGGACCACGCGGTTGTAGACGTTGGTCATTGGTACCAGAGTGTCTCCATTGATACGAGTGATGAGATCAACGTGAGTGGAGCCCCAGTGGTAGGAATATAAACATATTGTCTCTATAGGGAAATAGAAAAAGTGAAACAATTACATGTGTTTATATAAGAGCATTACAGAGTACTGAGACATTATCCTCTACATGTACAATGTGTAATTGAGGGTTTCAATTGAAATTAGAAAAATTAAAATTTTTGAAAAAGTGCCCTATACAGTATAATGGCATTTTGTCAAATTTAGGAGCAACTATAGGATGAACTGACAAGAACCTGCATAAGTAGTAGTATGCCAAAATCCAGTGGAAAAGCATGGTGCAATTAAAATAATTTATTGTTATTGCTTGGCTTCTAACACAAACATGCACACATAAAGATATTATACAAGTATTAGCTGATTATTATCATGGGAATTTGAATGGATTGACCAAAATACATGTAAATGTGTCAAACATGCTTTTCATTTACATGTATTTGTGCTGAATTATTCAAAGAAAAAAATCCACCAAAATTTATACACACATAAAAAATTACCAGCAATACAGCATCATTATCATTGACTAGTACATGCAGAAACTATTTGTATCCATTTATTATTATATATTATACATGCATGTACATGCATATGCTACCAACCTGGTGGAATTTTTGCATCCATCTTTCCCACGAATGTCAATCCTTTGAAATCCTCTTCACACAAATAAAACTCTTTCTTTAATGAGTAAGAAGTAGTCTTTGGAGTAGTAGGTGTGGCTACAATTAATAAAAACAATAAAGAATAGATTACTTGACAAAATGTACAGCTATTACAAAGAGGCTTACAGGCTTTGCTTTCATCATAAGAGCTGTCAATAACAAGATTACCAGGACTGCTGAAATCATCATCATCACTGTCTTCAGGTGTCTTCTCTCCCCAATTGAACCTTGACCTCTCTATTGGCCCATGCCCTGTCGCCATTTCTATCTCTTAATCTATGAAAATGATACCATTATGAATAAAACTAGTGAATAATAATTCAAGCCAATTCATGAGTGTATGATATCAAATAGCTAGAGGAGGTTTGGTCACATGACTACAAAGTGGCAGCCATTTTGTCTGTCTGTGTACATACCTACCTACACTTACCCACTTCTATAGCCTTTTTTGCCAGTAACTTCTCTTTCTCTCTTTAGAGATCTGATTATAATTCATGAACTAGGACAAGGAGGGATGAGAGGGTAAAGAGGAGACCTTGCCCACCTTCCACCATGTGCCTGTTACCAGTGACACCTAAACATGTCCACTGTATGCCCTCCCCCACTCTCTCTTGTCATCAAAATGGTGGTCATAACAATGTATCATTTTAGACTGTCATTTATGTATCTCTCTATAACGGCGGGTAATGTATATTGTCACCTTTGACTCCTTTAGGATCAAACTGTTAAGAGACAAGAGAGCGAACGAGAATATTGTAAGAGAGAGAAGTATTGATGGGTGACATAATGCACCCATTCATTTTGTCACCCGTCGATAAATTAATTAACTAAGTTGTTATTATTCATAACAGAAATGGAGTACTACTGTCAATTGATCTCTTCAAGTTCGTCTCAAAACAGTAGCTCCTCTCCTCCTGTCGAGCTTAGGCACAAAGAAACAGTTAGACTAGGTCGGGACGGAGCGACTGGTGGCACTGGACAAGTAAGTGCAAGTATAAAATCACCTCCCAGGGGCCAGGGCTCCCTGGCTTTGTTATCATGTCCTTTCATTTCGAGTTTCATTTGAAGGTTGAGGTTACAGCTGATATAGACTCTAAGGAAGTTCTTGTAAGACAGTTGAGTCCAGTGTGTTCATCAGTAGCAGGTGTTTTAGTATTGCAAAGAGAAGGAGAGACAGCAATCATAGGACCTGGAGCTAAACTAGAGCTAATGACAGAGAAGGATGCCCTACACATAAAGTATAACATATTTTTTGGGCAGAAGAAAGCTATAGAAGTAGCTAATACAAGACCTGGAGAGACTGAATATGCACAGGGAGATAGTGTGGTAGATATGTACACGTGTCGATGGGATTATTCTCAATCATTGCTAGTAATGGAGTATGGCCCACAGTCCCCATCACCACTAGTGGCTGCATTTGATCTTGATAGTACACTCATTAAAACGAGATCAGGTCGATTGCCGTTTAAAGCAGCTGGGCCTGACGATTGGACCTTTTGGATGCCATGTGTCCCTCATAAACTGCTGGCAGCTGAAGCATCAGGATACAGGATAGTTATATTCACTAATCAAGGTGGTATGAACTATGGTAACCCACCACTCTCTGAATTTAAACTGAAACTAGAATCAGTCATGAAAGAGTTAGGGAGAGCCTCAGTGCTATTGCTAGCATCATTGGAGGATGATGAGTATCGTAAACCAAGGACTAAAATGTGGGAGTATTTCATTGAATGTAAGAATGAAGGAGTGATGGTGGATATGAATGAAAGCTATTATGTAGGAGATGCTGCTGGTAGGCCAAAACATGTAAAGAAAGGTGAGTCTGCTTAATTAATAATTCAATCACTTTATGTGGATATTACGTATACATGTAGTTATGTTTTGTAGAAAGTTTGAGCTGATTCCAATGAAAATTTGATTTTTAACGAATATTTTAAGTTGCTTAAAAATCAGGCCAAAGTATAGCACAAGAATATTGGCCAAATTTCATCAAAATTCAAAAAGAGAGCATTCTTAGTTTATATGTGTAGTGTTACAGAAAATTTTGTAAAAAATGACTAAAAGAGATTTGATTTTTCTGATATACATGTACGTGTATAATACTGTATATGCATGGTTTTGTGTTATGTAGAAAGTTTTTGAGTCATAATAAAAATTTTTTATAAAGTTTTTGCTAATTACAAGAGAACACAGGTCATTGAATCCAGGGTATATGACATGTACATATACGTGTAACATTAAATGCATTATACATGTAACTCATGAGTATACACTAATTTTAGTCTTTTTATTTTTTATTCTTTTTGTTACAGATGGTAAAGCCGATTTCTCTTGCTCCGACCGAAAATTTGCTGCCAACATTAAAATTAACTTCAGTCTCCCGGAAGAGTTCTTTCTTGGAGAACCGACAAGCAGCGAGTTCTCATGGTACGGATTCAACCCACGAACATACACTCCAGGAGTAGAAGATGGACCCAGCTTAGAACCAAGAGGAACTCTAATCACTCGAGAGGCACAGGAAATTGTTGTTTTTGTGGGCCCACCTGCCGCTGGTAAAAGTCAATTTTACAAAGACTACATGAGGAGAGAAAGAAATAAAAGACATTATTCTCATGTTAGTAGAGACTTGCTGGGTAGTTGGCAGAAATGTGTCACTGAGTGTAGGGAAGGACTGGTTGCTGGTTACAGTGCAGTTATTGATAATACGAGTCCTGATATTGAGTCAAGGGGTCGGTATATTCAGTTAGGGTCTCAGTGTGGTGTCCCTGTACGCTGCTTCTGGTTCATGACGTCACTTGAGCATGCACTGCATAATAATCAGTACAGGAATCACTGCATAAAGGTATGGATTGTTATTATTATTATTTTACGTCTTTCTTAATGTCCATAAAATGTAAGAATTTAAAACATCTGTAACCATTTTCAGGAAAAATTACAAGCTACATGTACATTTACAAAATACATGCATTGTCTTAATTTGGCCAATATTTGAATACATGTACGTACATGGATGTCCATGTACTTTACAATTTTTCATTGGAATTGGCTCATATTGTAATTATAAGTTCATGTACTGTTCTTCTTTCTCCTTGCAAAACATCCTCCCTCTATTATGATTGTCTCTAAAGCTAATTTTAGCCAGACATCTTTGCCCTCCAATTTAACATTTAAATGTGTATGTACATGTACCTCAATCAAATTCTCATGTTCACTCTCTCTCCCTCCCTCTCTCCTCCATTAGCTTAAACTATATAAAGATGACATCAAGAAGATGGTCCCTGATTCTGCTCTAAGGTCATACAAGAGTAGGTTTGTTGAGCCATCACTCGCTGAGGGATTCAGTGAGATTGTCAAGATAAAAATATCTCTTCATTTTCCAAACAAAATGGCTGAGGATCTATACATGAAGTTTTGGGACTAGCAAAATAATTATATTCTTATTATTAATACAAAAATGTCAAAACTACTGCAAAACATATACATGTATAAATAATAATAATAATAATAATAATAATAATGGCATGTATTATTGTAATAATATAATTTACTTTTGTCCAATACATTAACACGTAAAGAGTGACGGTGACATTGTCCATCATTGAGAGAGAGAGAGACAGAGGGTTAAATTCTAAAAAATTTATTATTATTGTTTTTTTTCCATTGCATTATTTTCCGGAATTTTTCTTTGCTCTTCGTGCAAGGATTAGATTGTTAGTGTCCGCTACTTTCTTTATTTTTGATGGTTCATCAGCAACTCTCATTGTAGATGTGACATTTCATCCTATTAATAATAATAATAATAATAATAATAATAACTATTATTACTATTATTTTTTTTATACATTAATATTACTATTAATCTAATGGTAATAAATAATGTAACATTACTATTACATTATTTTTTCTGACTTTATTTCTGTTTTTAAACTACTATTGTCCTACTTGGTGTACTTTGGTTATAATAATAATAATAATAATAATAATAATAATAATAATAATAATAATAATAATAATGAGAAATAAAATAAATAATAACAATAGCTTCAAATCAAATTTTTAACCTTGCTACTATTTTTGATTATTGCTTACAAAATTTAAAAAATTCTCCTTCTGTAAAACATTACACAAGCCTTAACATGTACACTTTATGCATGTATAAACTGAATAGAAATAACAAAATAGGTACATGTACCACACATGTAATTACACATACTGTACATGTATAGATGTACAGGGTATATGTCACTAATGCATATTACTTTGTACATGTACAGACGTAGCAGGTAATTTTGGAGGGTTAGAAATTTTACAAATTTTGTTAAAATTAATTTTGATGATTAGAAGGTTTTAATTTGGCCATGTGCCATTGAGTTGGAAGTTTAATTGCCATCATCATAAAAATTGGGGGTGATTTTGGACTCATTTCTCGGAAAAAGTTTGCGTTATAGTACTGGGAAATTTTCAACAATTTTTAATGTTTAGAACTCGAAAATTATTTGCCAGAATCAGTTTAAATTTAATTTTCTACATAGCATAAGGTACATCAATGTGCATCAAAAAATGTAATAAAAATTGGGAGTTATTTTGGAGCCATTAAAAAAAACCAAGAACACTTTGGGTATTTTTCAGACTTAATAATTAAAAAAATTAAAGTCAGAATCAGCTCAAACTTTCTACACAGCATAATAAGGACACCAATATGCATCAGAAAATGTAATAAAAATTTCGGGTGATTTAAAACATGGACTATAGAGCTTTAGGTATTTTTCAAAACTTTTGGACATTTAAAAAATGACTGTAACTTGAAAATTCTATGTCAGAGTCAGCTTAAGCTTTCTACACAGCATATGAATAACAATATGCATTAGAAATGTAATATAAAATTTTGGGTGATTTTAAAGCCAATTTTCAAGTCAAAAAGCATGGGATTCAGGGTATTTTTTAATGGCCACAGCTCAAAAAAATTTTCAACTCAAACTTTCTACACAACATAAGTACATATTGATATGATTATCACAAATATTACAACTTGCTTAATTGGGTAATATCCAGTGGCGGAGCTGAACCCGGGCCCACACGGGCCTAGGCCCGGGCATCAAAGCTCTGTAATGAGATTCATTGGATGCAATGTAAACAATACCTTGCCTAAAGTTTAGATAAAGCAAACCACAAGCCTCACCAGAGTACTAACAAGTGCATACAGGTGCATATAAGCAATTAGCAAGCACTTTTCAAGTAAAATACCCAAATAAAAAGTTAGAAACTGGACACATCCACATCTGGGCCCGGGCATCAGTTTAGTTCCAGCTCCGCCACTGGTAATATCAATTTATGAAGTGAACCTTTTTTGTTACTGTGTAGGATATTATGAATAAACTTACAATTCAAGTACAAACTGTACAGTAATAGACTGGATCACTTATACAATAATCTAGAAATAAAATTGAAAATTAAAATTAAAAGTACAAACTCATTACGAAAGAGTCAGCGAGTTAAAACCTCGGTTAAAACTAAATTTAAGTTCATTATGATTATATCTGTGGGTGTGACTGGTAGATCTATGCTTTGCGTGGGTGTGATTCTGATCTGTTACGTTTAGGTTGATTCTGTGATAGATATGAGAGTAATGAATTTCCTGTACTCTGCTCTATGGTTTTGTTGAAATGGCTAGGAGAAGAAGAACAGGAATGCTGTCCTTAAGTGAGTGATATAGTCATGCGGGGGCCTGACTATGAGTGATATAACTTTCAATAAACTGCCCGTACTATTTGCTATAGAGAAGGAGAGACTAGCTGAGATACATGAGGAGCTACGGATCACTGGGTTTACTGAAGCCAAGTGGTTTGAGTTTGGACTGAAACTGGGTCTGAGTCTACAGACACTAGAGACGATTGAAGCTAATCACAGAGGAAATACTAGTCGTTGCTTGATGACTACATTGGACAAATGGCTCTCTAGAGCAGATAATGTAACTGGACCATTGTCTTGGATCACACTGGCTGATAGACTACGTAGAATTGGAGAAGTATCATCAGCTGAAAGAATCAGTAAATGTAAGTGATGAATATAATAATAATAATGTAATAATAATAATAATAATGTAGGTTTTTCTTTTTTTCTGTTGTGTAAATAATAATAATAATAATAATAATAATGCCCAGATGTGGTTGGGTCGGTCTTCCATTTTGTCCCCTGAGGTGGATGGCCAACTGTAGGACGTTTTGTTTCATTTTTATTTTATTGTCATTTTATTTTGTTATTATTTTATTATTATTGTTATTTTATTTTATTTTTCTATTTTTGGTTGGTCCCCATTTTTCGTTTCTATTTTTCTTCCCTTATGGGCTTTCCCTTTTTGTCTCTCTTGTCTCTCATAATAATAATAATAATAATAATAATAATAATAATAATAATAATAATAATAATATTCTGATTTGGCTACAAGATATATTACGGCGGCGTATGCTCCCTTTGAAGCATCACAAAATCCTTTTAGCTGATATGTGCAACTTTGCTCTCCCTGCATCTGGCTTAGATAATATCATGGTACCCAAACTGTTGATACTTTTGGTTTTGTTCATAATAATAGTTGTAGTAGTAGTAATAATAATAATAATAATAAGGCTGTGTCTAATGCTCCGGTAACCGTTAGATTTCAGTGATGCTAGAGCTCTGGTAGTCCGTTTTTCTCTGTAAAACAGCTTGTGCGCATGCTCAATAGTGCAAAATGGAACTTAGTCTTTTTATCAAGAAACACTAAACCCAAATTTTAAAAACTCTACAATCCTGGAGGCTAAGATGTACGAGAGGGTGCTTTATAGACCCCTTTAGGCGAGAATTAGTTAGTGATACCGTATATACAAAGAAATAATATTGAACGGATTTTTGTCCGCCATGTTTTACGTCAAAGTTATGCAGAGTTCCAATGGCTGATGTGCAAAGTAGAGCTGTTTTGCCAATAAAACTTTTGTTGTGCTGAACTCAGGACTATGAGAGGCTTCATATCAACTGTTCTTTACTATAGCAAGATATTTTGAAGACTTAAGAAGTCTGGGAGAGCCAGAACGATCAGTTCTTGACTCTTTGTCACAGCCCAAAGAGGAAAGCAGGCTCATACAACAAGAGTATTGCACTATACTTCCTAGGTTGGCTCTCTTGGCATCTTTCTTGACTCTAGAATAGTTTTTAGCTTCAAAATGTAGTGACCAAGATCTCCAGGACACAGAAAGCACTTGCTGCTTGACGTAAAACATGGTGGCCAATTATTGTATGTGGGCGTATACCGTAACTGAGATATAATGATATTCATTGCAAAATTAATGATATTCACAAGCTACTACTTCTCGCCGAAAGGGGTCTATAGGCCTTGGTGGATTTTATGAGAATAATAGGGCCCAAAAGCATAAGCATAATAGAGCTATAAAAGAAAATTTTGAAAACATGTATTGAGAAATGCAATAAACAGGCACTTGCACTCAATAAATTAACTGTTTTTATGTTTAAACAGCTACTATTGCTCACAATACTTTCAAGAGCTTCATAATTGAATTACTGGCTCACATTTTTGGGTGGGGCTAAGTTATTATAATGAAATTCATGGGCATAATTGTGGCTGATTGGTAGAACATAATAGAGCTGCTTCCTGAGAATTGCAGCATAGCATAATAGAGCAATTTTAGAGCATAATCTGCCAAATCCTAGTGCTCTGAAAACTAAACACTAAACCCCAATCCCAACCCTACGACCCCGGAGGCTAAGATGGACGAGAGGGTGTTTATTTCTTGACCTAAAAAAGCCAAAAAAGAAAAAAAGGAAAAAATTATTTTTAAAAAGAAAAAAAAATCAAAAACCATAGCATAGTTTCACTCAGTAATCCTGACCGGATTCGAACCACTGCTCTCATCTAGAGATGTCCCGATAATCGGATCGGCATATCAGATATCGGCTTATTGGCCTGCTTTTTTGTAGTATCGGTTATCGGTTTCTTTGCATGCATCTTGCAGATATAGCAACACATGGCCATATGCATGAGAATAAAGGGGCATGAGAATAAAGGGTTAATCAATTAATTTTAAGGCAATTATGTGAAATGTCAAAATGATTCTGTAACTGTAACTACTTGAAAATTAGTGAAGATACTAAATTGGGAAGTGTATAAATCACATTTTACATGCATAAACCTGTGCCTAGAAGGTAGAAAGGAAAATATCGGATCGGTATTAGTATCGGCCAGTAATGGCTATGTTAATATTGGAATATCGGCTAAAACCCATATCGATACATCTCTACTCTCATCCATGCAATCCACACAAGCCTCTCCACTTCACAACTACATGTATGACCCTGCTGCACCCATGTTGCTGGTTGTCATATTTATACTCGATTTCTTTAATAAATCAGTGTATTATTGATACTGGGGCATATCCCCAGTTTATACTATGGATGTGTGTTTATTGCCATACTAACTTTTGGTGTGCCAGCATAGATACTATAGAGCCTTCAGAAAAGTGTTCAAAGTGTTGAAATTCATTCATTTAGGTATACATTTGTGTATGGCACAGTCATAGTCTCATAAAATCAAATAAAAATACACGCATACTGGGTAGTCACAGCATTAGTGACGTCATTCATATAAGTTCATGTATATTGCACTTCCTGTTTCATATCCATGTGTGTTTGTAGTATCTATGGTGCCAGGGTGTTATATGCCCATGTTTATATATAGTACTGTTACTTAATTTGATAAAGTGGTTTGACAAGTAAGCCAATGAAGCCATAGATAAGAGTAGGGCACGGGCCAGATGCATTGTGACCATAGTAGTATACCTTAAGCCTACTATTATTTGTGTCTACTTATTTTAGCGAAATCAGTAAAAGTCATGTTTAGCGTTACTAATTTTAGCGTTTTTAACCAAATTAACTATCAATAATAACCATTGTAATGAATAATAATTATTTTGACGTATATTTAATTTAGTGGTTTAAGGCTCTCTAGCTAATATAGCTAAATTTAGTAGACGCTAAAAATAGTAGGCTTAAGGTATATTAGATATCTGCCTGTCGATCTGGCAGGTGTTACGGGCTTATAACACCCTTGAGAAAAGGTGGTCTCGGGCTACGCCCTCGACCACTTTTCTTGTTGGTGTTATATGCCCATAACACCCGCCAGACAGGTAGATATCCAATAATTATAATTAGGGGCGAAGCCACTATTACCGGAGCTCTAGCATCACAGACATCTAACGGTTACCGGAGCGTTAGACACTTTGTAATAATAATAATAATAATAATCGTATACTTGGGGCATGTCCTTCTCCTGGGGCTTGGCCCATGGCTTCTCTACCAATAGCATTGGGAGGGTTGGGCTTGTGTAGAGCTCAGTGTAATGATCTAGCAGCCTTCCTAGGGTCTATTTAGGCAGTTAAGTCCTAGTCTCGTGCAGCCAGAAATGTCAAAAAGGGGAATGGGTCTGGCTACACGAGACAAGTAAAGTCCCTGGTGGATGATCTGTGTTTGTAGTATCTATGGTGCCACGAGGCTTTCTCTTCCTTGTATACATGTACTTCAGCGTCTTTTGGCCTTCTCCACATTGCTGTGGGTCACTCTGATTGGTCTTCTTCAGTGACATGAATTTTATTGTTTATCAAAGATTTTTATCTCTGGCTATTGATCAGTCTTCCTACCAGTCTCTCCTCTCTACTGCTCCTGATGATTGTTCTTGAGCTTTGGCTTTGCTACATCAGTTCCTCACTCAGGAGACTGGTTACCAGACATGGGGTCAATTACATTAGAAAGTAATATATTACTATTACTATTAACTAGAAAAAAATTCTATTACTATTACAATTACATGTTTAGTAGATGTAAATGTAATATATTACTATTACTATTACTCCACTAATTTCATTATTACTATTACTATTACTGCATATGCATGACTAAATGTAATCTAATTATATTACGATTACATTATAATTTCAAATCAATTCTCTTTAAAGCAAATGACCATTACATTGTATACTTATAAGCTTCTCAAAAACAGTATCAGAAAGTCTGTATCGTTCCGGTCTAAAAAATTTCCCTCCTATACTGAATACCACTGGGCAGATGAACCTTTTGTCAGAGCAGACAGACTTGAATGCACATACATGTACCTGTACATGTACATTGAATACTTGTACAATAATGTATTACAATATGTACAATTACTATTATATTACTATTACTTAACTGTCTCCTACTATTACAATTACTATTACTTGGTTTTTTGATTCCTCCATTACTATTACTATTACAATTACTTCAAAACATGTAATCTTTACTATTACTATTACTATTATCTATTACTATTACCCCATGTCTGCTGGTTACCAGTTATACCATCTGATACGCTATGTCTCTGGTTTTATGATTTGGAGTTTCATTTCTGCCTTCTCTATTGGATGTGTCTAGTTCCCCTCATGACTGTCCTATATGTGAATTGATGGAGGACCATGCAGTAGGGTGTGGGGGGAATGGTGACGGAATTATTT